CACTGTAAGGTGGGCCTGTGTTCTTTCCGCCTCCACAACTTACTAGCTCAAGCCTCAGTTTCTCATCTGTACAACAGGAACCATAATTACAAGACCTGCTTTAATAGATTATATAATACTAAGCATAGTGTCTGCCCAAAGCAAATGCTCAATAACTGTTAGCTCTCACACTTTCTATCATCATCGCCTCCTTTATGTAATACCTACTACCATTGTAATAGAAATTAACTGATAAAAGCAGTAATGTCCATGGCTCTTCTTTTTTATTTGTTTAGGTTCCTCTTGAAAAGTTGCATAGGACATTTCTTGCTGTCATATTAAATGGGGCCTGGGCTGTTCTACGTGATGGACACACACACACACACACACACACACACACACACACACACATCTTCATCTTCAAAGAGCTTTTTGAGACAGGCCCTCTTATCCAGTCTTACTGAGGCTACTGAGGCACAGAAAGGTTTGGAAAGTTCCACAGCAGGTCATTGTTGGAGAAGGGATGTGACCCGTTGCAATGTGGCTTCAGTGTCCAGTTCTAACACCTTGTCATATGGAATACAATGTCATGAGTCACCACAGGATATAAGGCCAGGCCAATCTCCAGGCCGAACAGGTACATGGTCATGGCTGAGGCAGCATCCAGGACCTGGAGCAGAGCCTGGAGGACAGGCTCCCTGAAAGTGGGCAGGTCCAATCCAGGACAGTGCAGGGGCCAGGAGCCCAGAAGAGAAGAAGCCTGGGCCTGGAGGCCAGGCCCCAGACAGGACCTCCAGGCACTGGCAGCACTGAGGACTTTCATGTGAAGCCACCTGGCACCAACCGGTGAATATGAACCATGTTTTGGGAAGGCCCTCGACCCTGTATCGGACTGGCCTGTGCTCTAGGACATGTCACCAAGTGAGCAGTGAAGTGAGGGAAACACAGAGGCTACTTCTGAGCAGCACTGAAAGGGCAGATAAACTAATGAGAATAACTCCTGTCTCCAAGCCTGCTACAGACTCTGGTTGACCTTGGACAAGCTGATTCTTTTCTGTCTCCCAGTCTCGGGTATGGTCTACAGAAGGCATTTCATCACTGACTCTCCTCGTGGGATTAATGGCTTATTTGGCTCTGTGGCCTTAGCACAGATGGGCTTAATGACATTTTTCAAGGGCTCTTTTGCATGAAAAATGACACTAAGATAGAGGACTTTCCCTTTACCTCTATATTTAGATTTATATACGTATTTAAGGCAAAGAAGACATATATTTCTTCATTTGAAAAGATTAAGTAAAACCTGTATTTGAAAGTATTTCTAAATTTAATAGATAAAATTTTAGGTCCCTATTAGTAAATCTTGGGTAGCACTTTAAATTTATTATAAATGAGCCTCATTGTTGCCAAACACACACACACACACACACACACACACACACACACACACACACACATTTTATAATGCACATGGCTGTGTAATATTAAATTGGTGTGAAAAATTCAAGAATTCAGAAAATTTGGATTCTGACTTCACCTCCTAATAGTTATGTGACCTCAGTTGAACCACACACACACACACACACACACATTTTATAATGCACATGGCTGTGTAATATTAAATTGGTGTGAAAAATTCAAGAATTCAGAAAATTTGGATTCTGACTTCACCTCTTAATAGTTATGTGACCTCAGTTGAACCACTTAACTTCTCTGAAGGTAAATTTTCTGAGCTTTCCAAAAGAATATCTGCTTTGCTGTGCAGTAACAGAATCTTTGAGAAGACTAAATTAAATGAAATGTCTGAAAATGCTTAATTAACTATAAAGGATCTTAAAACCTTAAGGAATTATTATTATTATTTTCCCCCATGTAGGAATCCCATAGTATAGCTAGAACAGGTAAAAGAAACATTCTATTTTAAAATGCTTTTATACTAATTGTGGGCAAAAAAAAAAAAATAGAGTCAACTGGGCCTTAATTAATATGGCAAAAACTACTCCTATTTTTAAAGTATTGTTTCTCCTTCTCATGTGCTAAAACTACCCTTGTACAAAGCCCACATGGTAAAATTTAGATGAGGTTCTGGAACAAAATCAATGATGAAACTGTGACAAAGCAGCAGCTCAGAGATTTGGGTGAGTGCTGTCCCCTCTCCATCGGGGCCCCAGATCTCAGTTTCTGGTTCTGACTGAGCATAGAGTCTGGATCTCTCAGTTAGTCCCAGATGCCCTCTAATGGTGCCGCCCTCAAGGTGAGGGACACTCAGGCTCTTGCGACCCTGGAAACACAGCACAGTCCTTTCACAGGCTGGGAAAATTAAACCCAAGGTTAAGATGCGGTACAACTGGAGAAAACCATCATATCCAAGCAAGATTTCTAAAACGTCTAACTTCACATCAGAACATCTTCTTCTTTATAAAGAAATCTGAAACCTAGTGGATATGCTTTAACTATAGGAGAATTTTCTTAAAAGCCAGCCTATCTGTTGGTTGCTGCTAGAAATTCAAAATCTATGTTGACCAAAATTTCATAAATTCGTAAAAAAAAGAAACTTCACTGAAAGAAAAATTCATGACAGCTCCCATTAAAGAAATCGCAAACGAACCTCAGATGAGAAGGACAGATTTGATCATCAGAATCAGTACCTTAGATGGTGTGACCTCCTTTACATCTTTAGAAGCCAATGCAAAAGCTGGAAAAAAAGGAAACATTTTTATATTAAAATTGGCCATTAAGATTTATTCTCACATAGAACAATTTTGCTTAAAATAAAAAGATAATGATATAAGACATATTTTGCTCATTTTTAAAAGCAGCTGCATTGCCACAAACCAGTACCATTGGCTGCCTTCATCTCCAGACCTAAAATAATTTATCAGTGAAAGCCAACAGACACTCAGGCTACAAAACTAAAAATATACTCCATCAGAGAAACTAGAACCTGTGTATACCATTGATGTCTATAGATATAAATCACAAAATAAATGCACACAGAATACAACTTCTTTGAAATCTCAACTCTGGTGCCATATGGTAAACAAAAAAACTTTCACGGCCAAAAGTTCTTCTAAAAAAGGGGGGTACTGAGCCATACACGAGCTACAAAAGGATCAGGCCCTGGGGCGTGCAGTCTAAGCCACCAGCAGCAGGTGTGGAGACGACAACATATCCGCTGTCTTGGGCTGGGGGGAGTTTTTATTTATTATGTTTGGGAGAAGAAAGATCTACGTTGTTTTGAAAGAATTTACATTGGCTACAAACAGAGAGGTGGAAAAGGTGACGGTGGCAGTTTTAGGATAGGTGAACAGCCTGTAAGGAAGAAATGTTTACTACTTTGGTGGTGGGCAACATTCCTGAAGGTTCCTGCATAGGCAGTGGTGTCTGCTGGTCACTAATAGAGCCTGAAGGTGGATTCAAAGTTCCAACAGACATTCAGGAAGGTGAGCAGTTTACTGTTAGTTGACCGATAGCTAGTAACTGTTCAAATACTCTATTCTCTTTCTCTCACTCACTTGCCACTGTAATTTAATTTAGGACACCTCAGCTATTTTTTTGTGTCACTTCTTAAGCAAAGGGGAATTCCTAAGCATCTGGAAATCCACATTCTCACAATCACTGCCAGAGCCTGGCGGCAACAGAGCAAAATGTGGCACCAGATTTCCATCTCAGGGATCATGGGGTAGAAGTGTGGTGCAGACACTGCTGCTACATTCGGGACACCTAAAGGAACCCTACTGAAGCCATAGGGTCAGGGGAGTGGGAGGAATTAAAACCATTCCCCTTTTAGAGCGATTTAATGTTTTGAGTCAGAGCCCATTTATAAAGATACCAGAGGTCCAGTGCACAAAATTTGTGCATTGGGGGGGGGTGTCCCTCAGCCTGGCCTGCACCCTCTCACAATCCGGGACCCCTTGGGGGATGTTCAACTGTCTCCTAACCACTTGCCTGCCTGTCTGCCTGATCGTCCCTAACCACTCTGCCTGTCTGCCTGCCTGATGACCCCTAACTGCCTCTGCCTCAGCAGCAGCCTCTGCCTCAGCCCCCACTGCCATGGCTTCATCCAGAAGGTCGTCTGAAAGGTCGTTTGGCTGCCCGGTCTAATTAGCATATTATGCTTTTATTATTATAGATAGATCCCTAGAGACATATCTAGGATCTACATTAAAAGTAATCCTATATAATAGAGAAACATGCAAATTAACTGTCCCTCTGCTACACTCAAGCCACACCCACAAGCCACGCCCACTAGCCAATCAGGTGCGAGTATGCAAAATAACCCAACTAAGATGGCGGCGGCCACAGAGCTGGAGCGAGCAGGAGGCTTGGGTTGCTCCCGGCGATAGAGGAAGCCAAGCTTCCCGCCTGCCCTGGCTGGCCCTGGGCTCCGCTCAAGGCTACAAAGTTTCAATTATAGAAGATAAAAAAATCCCAGAAAAATAAAAAGGAGAGGCTGGGAGCTTCTATCACCGGGGGGCGTGGCCAGCCTGAAAACAGCCATCAGCCCCTCACCCAGGCTGGCCAGGCACCCCAGCGGGACTCCCCCACCCTGAAGGGGCTGTGGGAAGCCTGAAAACAGCCCTCAGCCCGTCACCCAGGCTGGCCACACCATGGGGTGAGGGTCCCCACTGGGGGGCTTGACCAGCCTGAAAACAGCCATCAGCCCCTCACCCAGGCTGGCCAGGCACCCCAGCGGGACTCCCCCACCCTGAAGGGGCTGTGGGAAGCCTGAAAACAGCCCTCAGCCACAGGGGGAGCTCTGCTCAGCCACAAGCCAGACTGACGGCTGCCAGCACAGCAGTGGTGGCGGGAGTCTCTCCCGCCTCCTCAGCAGCGCTAAGGATGTCCGAGTGCAGCTTAGGCCTGCTCCCCACTGGCAAGTGGACATCCCCCAAGGGTTCCTGGGCTGCCAGAGGGATAGCTGACTGCCAAGTTAGGCCTGATCCCCTGCTGAGTGGGCCTAAGCCAGCATGTGGACATCCCCCAAGGGGTCCCAGACTGCGAGAGGGCACAGGGCTGAGGGACCACCCCAAGTGCACAAATTTTTGTGCACCAGGCCTCTAGTCCTATATAATAAAAGGCTAATATGCAAATCGACCGAATGGCAGAAAAACCGGTCGCTATGATGCACACTGACCACCTGGGGGCAGACGCTCAATTCAGGAGCTGCCCCCTGGTGGTCAGTGCACTCCCACAGGGGGAGCGCCACTCAGCCAGAATCCAGGCTCACATCTGGCGAGCACAGAGGCGGTGGCAGGAGCCTCTCCTGCCTTCGCTGCAGTGCTAAGGACACCTCAGAGGACATCCTCTGAGGGGGCCCCAGACTGCAAGAGGGCACAGGCCAGGCTGAGGAACCCCCCGCCCCACAGTGCATGAATGTCATGCACCGGGCCTCTAGTAATAATAATAACAGTAACACTTTGAAAATGTCAATCAAAATAATAAACCAAACAGGAAGGTGAACTGAGCAAAAAATATTCCTAATTTTACAGTGCATTTCTCAAAAGTATTTCACAGTTTGCTTTCTCCAATCAGCATCCCCAGAAAAAATGGGCAATGCCATAAAGCAAGAATTTACTTCAAGGGTGGAACAGGCAATTCCATGGAGCAGTAATGCAGCACAAGGCATGTGGGTAGTGGGGCTCCCCAGGTGACAGAAGCAGGAGAGGACTTCACTCATTTGGGTGCTTCCCAGCCCCATCCTATATATCACAGCCTCTGACTCTCTCCATTAACATTTGCTCAAGGGAAATAATCTAAAACATAGTCATACTAAGAAGCCAATCATGAAGGTGGTTTGATCATTTCCATTTCCTAATGACATTTCAAAAGGCAGAATGAAATTGAAATGTAAGTGAAATGAACCTCTATGTGTGAAATTTAGATAACAGCAGATACTACAGGAAGCCTCCTTGAGACCACTTCTTATAAATAGCAAATCCCCAACTCCACCCCCTGCCCTTCCCTCTCCCTCCTTAACTTTTCTACAGAGCACATACCACCACTGACATAATATATGTTTAATTGTTCATTGCTTATCTTATATATTAGTTCATTGTAAGCTCCATGAAGGCAAGAATGTGGTTTTATTTACTATTTGCCCACAAACATAGGGCACAGACAGCACACACAAGAAGATCAATTAATATTTATTTAATGAGTGCTAAATATGAATAAATGAATGAATGAGTGAGTGAATGCAAGTCTCCATGATGTCCCTGGAGTCACAACGCTTAAGGGTTGTCTATTCCTTACACTAGGCAGCATTCCACCCAGTAGAATGGAACAGTTTAGTGCCCCAACCTTAATTTATTTTCACTAGGATTTGACCTATTTTCTTACTTTTACACACACACACACACACACACACACACACAGTCCAAATCACTCATTAAGTTCTAAGAAGAAAGGAGAGGTTTAACACCAAACACACTTTAACCATTTTGCTTCTAGGCATTTAATTTTTTGGTGGGGGGTGAGCGGATTAATATGGGTAATATACCTCCAACCTAGTATGCACATTTACAACCCACAAGAAGAATCAAATATAGAGTTAGTAACAAAAATCAGACAGGGAGGTCACAACATGTTAACCTCACTCAGCATCACAGAATTTTAGAAAATAGGATATGTCAACGACTTGCAGGCTATAAAAACTGTGGTCAATCTAATACATGACTTTGATGGCAAAATACACATCTGCCAACCCCATCAATTCCTAATGTCAAACATGGACAGTCAAAGAGCTCTCTGGGCTGGAGTTTACTCTTCTATAAGAAAAATAATATCAACTGAACAATGACTCACCATCTAATAACCAGCACTTAGTCTTATGTCACTGTTTGCAGGGTCAGATGGCTATGTCAACAAAGAAGCCCTTTAGAATGTAGTCTCTACTGAACAAAAAGTAACTGTATTTGGTGGTACTAGTTCTGAAAATGACTAATACATCACCTTTCAAAAATAAGCAGCTAATATTGTTTGATGACGTTACTGTTTCAATTAGGAATTGCATAAAGAAAAGCTATTCCTAATAAATCAAATGGATTCCACAAATCCTGCCTGTCATACTCAAGACCCCATGCCTTTATTCAGATAAGGCTGAGGAGAGGGCAAACATTTTCATTCCAAAAATACACAGGCCTACAATTAAATATTCTGAAAAACGAAAACAAAAAAATCATGAAAGTTGCCATTTCCCTCCATCATTCTGCTGTGAAATTAAGAACTTTTCCCCTGATAGAAACACATCAGAGTACTTTCAGGCATAAGATCAAATCACATGGCAAAATCATCACCATTAGATGAATGTGGAAAAAAAAATACTAATTGGTTTTATCTTTGCTTCCATAATCCAAATAAAACAAAGAACTCATCAAGGAACCAAATGCATTTGGAAGACAGAGTACACTATACCATTATTAAGCCTGGCCTTATAAGATGATGAATCATTTATAGAATTCCTACAATGAAATCTACAGCTGGAGGAAATGAAGGAGAAACGTACAAATAGATGAGGAAAGTGAGAAAAAGTAGGGGGAACCCCTGGGGCCTCCGTGTGTGTGAGTGAGTGTGTGTGTGTGTGTGTGTGTGTGTGTGTGTGTGAGATATTTGGCCTCTCACAAATTTCCAGATTCAATGGGGAAAAAAATTCTGGAAAGCCTGGCCTGAAGGCACAGTACAGTAGGAGAAATACTGCAAGGTTACTCATGTTCTTATATGTCAAACTGCTCTTTAAAAGTAATTTTCCCTTTACTATTTCTGACATGAATTTCTGTGAATTGCTACAGGGAACTATATGTAAAGTGCAAATCAGGGCAAAGAAGTAAGACCCTTTATGTTATAACCTTAAATAATTCAAGCCAACAAATGTGTTAGCACACCCATCCTGAGAAATAAATCAAGATCTTACAACGAACCTGGGACAAAGATTTATGGGCTCCCCTAAGAAAACTGGAGAGGAATTAATTGCACTGCATTTAATCAACACTAATCAACTATCTTTTCTTGTTCCTGGGAGGGAGCACAGGACCCCATGCCCACGCAGGAAAGATGAGGGTCCCTCTAACTTCTTGCTCTGTTTTGTTCCTGTTCCCCAATCTGTCCTCCCAAACTCTCCAAGTAACATCTATCACAGAAACCAAATGAAATTAAATAAATAAATAAATAAATAAATAACACCTCCAGGGGTGCTGCCAGGATTAAGTGAGTTAAGGATGGCTGGGCATGGATGACCAGCCCAGCGGGTGATCATGGCCTTGCTGCTGGTGGTGAATATGGTAACACACTATCAGTCTGGGCGTGTCTAGGTGTGGGTGTGCCCTGCACACAAGCCAAGAGTAGGAAGAAAACCACGTGCCCCTGAATCTGCCATCAGGACCTGCTCACAGCACACCCAGAAGCTGGCAGTGGGTGCCCCCCCTCCCCCGTCAGGGTTGCACACTTCACACACTGTGGGAGGCAGCTTTGGGGGCTTTACTTTCTTTCCTGTGACCTACTTACAAAACATCTCACTCAGCACATCTCCGCCCCCATAGCTCAGTTCCTTTCCAGGAGCTTTCCAGGTTTCATTCGAGGTCTTCCAAAGCGGGCCATAAACTCCAGGATGTACAGCCCTCGGCCAATTTATTTGGGTCTGCTTTGAAGATAATCCATGGCAGCAGAGGGAGCAGAAACAAACAAACTCTAGCTCAGCCACAGTGGGCAGCACCTGCCCTTCCTTCATCCTCAGACAAATCCACTGTCCCTGAGCTTGTGGGCGTACTGGGTAGCAGCTCCATCCATCCATGCCCGAGCACAGGATGGAGCACCTGTCACGCTCCATGGGCTGGGGACAGAACCACTGCAGGCAGTGGCTGAGGATCACATGGTTAACATGTGTACTGTTCCTGGAACAGGGCCTGGCACTTGCAAAGTGCTCTGGGTGACAGCAGCTATTACCATTATCAGTATGAATTTATATTTTCAACTGTTCAACGGAAAATTCAAACGTGGCCGTGTGGGCATTCTAAGCCACACATGATGCTGGGAGTGGAGAAGAGGAGGGATGAGCATCTCTCCAGGGAGCTCGTGGTTTAACAGGAGACAAGTCCTTCCATCAGTGCCAAGCACAGAAGTGTGGCTCTGATGGCAGTTGTCCTGATGGTAGCGTAGGAAGCATCTGGGGGTGGACAGAGGACACCTCACCCAAGCAGGGGGCAGAGGTAAAAGAGGCTTCTAGACTGGGAAGCTCAAGACTTAAGAAAGTAACGTCCAGGACACAGAGACTTCAAGGAGGCCTGGAAACAGGCTTCTGCACACAAAGTACTGCCAACAGTCCAGTGTTTCCAGAGCATGGACACCTGAGGGGAGGGAGTGGCTGGGCCTGGAAGAGATGAGGCTGGAGATGGCAGGGGCCATGTCACGAAAGGGATTGGTGTTGGGGAGTCTGGTTGTATTCTGAGCGCCACAAAAGCTTTTTAAGAAGGCAAGTGCTGTGTTGAAATGTGTGCCTTAGACAGCTTTCTAGGGGTGATGTGTGGGTAGGCTATGGGGAGGACATAAAAAGACACAAATACATCATCTGGGAAGCTAATTGAGCCAGGCAATGAGAGATAAGGGACTGACTTAAAGTGAGGCAGTGCCTGGGCACAGTAGGATTGTGAGCAAGAGCAAGTGTTGGGGATACTACAGAAGCAGAATGGACAGGCTTAGAGACAAGATCCTAGCAGTGGATATGGGTGGGGCAAAGAGGATCCACAAGGATGATGAGAGAGATGTGAGCACAGGTGATTCCTATGTACAGGCCTTTGGCTCCAGGCCTGCTGTACCATGAGGTCACTGGTCAGAGACACAGAGTCTAGACCAGTGATGGCGAACCTTTTGAGCTCGGCGTGTCAGCATTTTGAAAAACCCTAACTTAACTCCGGTGCCATGTCACATATAGAAATTTTTTGATATTTGCAACCATAGTAAAACAAAGACTTATATTTTTGATATTTATTTTATATATTTAAATGCCATTTAACAAAGAAAAATCAACCCAAAAAATGAGTTTGCGTGTCACCTCTAACACGCGTGTCATAGGTTCGCCATTCCTGGTCTAGACTCATGCCACCTGGGATCCAATTCAGGTTCTGCTGCTTAATAGCTAAGCAACATGGGACCAGTTGCTGGGCCTCTCGAAGCCTCTGCCTCCCTTTCTGTAAAGGGGTGTGGGGTAGTGGGGTCAAACAAGAATGAAATAGGTTATTACATGTTCAAGTTCAGGACAGGATCTGTCCTATGGAAAAAGCCACTGAGCCTTTTGCTCAGGTGCCAACAGCAAACTCTTAGGAAAAGGGATATGTTGGATTGGGGGTGATGCCAGCACAATTCTGCTACCAGGACAAGTAGAGAACTGGACAACATTTAGGGTCAGGACACCCCTTTGCCCATTCCATGGGTTCTACCACACTTGCAGTGATTCAGCCTTTTCAGAGAAGGAATGCGAGGAGGCGTGGCTCCCACCCAAGGATGGCAGAGAGCATACAGACGTGACATCCATCATCTTCTGAGCCCACTACCTACCCCAACTTGAAACACATCTCCTGTTTTATGGAAGAAGTCAGAGGGGGGAAAAATCACTTGGTGACAGAGTTTGCTCACATATAGAAATTTTTTGATATTTGCAACCATAAGTCAGAGGGGAAAAAATCACTTGGTGACAGAGTTTGTCAGGATCAACAGAGTCTATATGCCATAGGGCAAACATATTTACAGGAAGGACAGGAAATAGGAAGAAAATAAGTAGGAAATAACCATATATTTTAGAAAGAAAAAGTTCATTTGCTTCTTTGAGTCATATCTCATTTAAACAAATGATATAAGAACCCATGTGCCACTCAGGATATAAAAAGAATAAAATTCCAACTCAAACAGAGTTTTAGGGGAGATTCAAAACAAGCTGAGTTACAGGTAAGGGGCAGAGGAGTCCCAGGTCACACAACCTGCTCCAGAACACACAAAGGAGGTCCAAAAGAGCAAAGAGCAATACACAGGACATCAGCACTTTGTATAATTCCTTCACATTGCAGGAATATTATTGAACCATTAACTGTCAGGCTAACTTATAGAAACACATCTATGCTTCAATGTTGGTTATCTTATTTTTGACATACAAAAAGTGGGTTTTAAATACACCCATCAGGACCACTGACTCCACAGCACCCACAGTCTATGACATTCTAATGCCTGTAGGAACTTACTTGTCTGGTGTCTAAAAATCTTTGCTGTAACAACCCACTCCCTAGTTTTGGAGACTTATGACCCACACATGATATTCCCTCCAGAAGCACTTGAAAATCTGCCAAACAATGCTGGAACCAGAGAAAAACTTCTTATTTTGAATTCAGAGGGTTTTGGTTTTGTTTCCCCAGTAGGCAAAATGCCTGACTGCTGAGTATTGAGCCTCGATACCATATGTTTCTGTCTCCGGAAACAGCCCCTAGTATCTTTTAAGACAAAGCCACTAGCAGTCATCTAGTTTACATAACCTGGGCCTAGGTAGCCCAGGCAGGGTTCCTGCACCTGCCAGCATATACAATTCACCTGGGGCCTTGCTAGAAATGCAAATCCACATTTCAGATATTTTGAATCAGAAAGATCTGGAACCCAGGAATCTGTATTTTAACAGGGAATCCTGAAGGGGACTCTTTAGGACACTGAGGTGATTCTTGTGTGTGCGAAAGGTTGACACACATTGGGATGAACAGTTGGGCAGGCCCCTAAGGGAAATGACTGGGGCTATTTTCACAACAAGCCCTGGCCATTTTTCCTTACCTGCCTTTCCTCCCTTCATTTCATAAATGAAAAAGCAAGCTCCTGCGTCAATACCCTCAGGATCTCGAGAAGATAAATGAAACGTGATGTGTAAAGAGCCTAGAGTTCCTCACAGGAAGCAATGATGTAAACTAAATCATAACACCTTTTCAGATCATAAAATATTCTTTTAGGAGCAAAAATAAGTCACAGCCCTAGGGGGATATGGCACTACTACACTTGAATACACTCAAAACTTATTTGATGATACTTTTATGCACTTTTTTTTCCCCCTAAACCTGTAGTTTTACATCATACAGATAAAGACTTTCCTCCCCAGCTTCTACCAAATCTTTTGGTGCACATACATTTTGAATAAAGGCTTAAATAAATCGACTTCTCAATCAAGGCTCTCCTCTTTAAAAAAAATCTATTCAAATTGCCCCCAAATCATCTCTCTCCAGCCGGCCTCTTCTCTGAGTTCCAGACCCACAGATCTAACTGCCCATCTGACATGGTACCTGAACATCTCACACACACCCTCAACTTGTCCAAGCTGAGCTCATCATCCTCACCACCCCTAAAAGTAAATGTTAGAAAAATGTCTGAGTAATGACAAAAAAAACTATAACTTACAAGTGATTAAAGTGATAAATTTTATTTATACATTAACTATAATAAATTTATTTTTTTAATCCAGTCCTTCTCCACGAGTGCCCATACCAGTAAACAGCACCCCTCTCTGCCTACAGCTCAGAACAGAAACCTCTGACTCCTCCCTAACCCCACTCTTTCTGTAGGTGGCTGTCCCTGTACCCGCTGCACCTATCAATCACTGTATCTTAGCGATTCTTAATCATCTCTCATGTAGCTGATTCTAGCAGCCTCTTCATTGGTTCTCCACATCCACCTCAGCCCCCTCTAATCCCTGTTCTACAGGCCAACCAGAGGAACTTCTTACAAGGGAAGTCAAATGTCTCACTGCCTATGACAGCCCTTCAGCAGCTTCCCTTTGCTCTAGGCTAGGGACACAGTCCAAAATGCTCACCCTGCATAACCAGGCCCCTACTGGTCTTCCCAGCCCCTCTCTCAGCCTCTCCAGACAAGTCCCTTCTCACTCCATTCCTCCAGCACCAAGCTCTCCCCCCTACCAGACCTGCTCCCTTCCTCCCTCCACTGACTTCTGCTTCCCCTTCAGCTCTGAGTTCTGGTGTCCCTTCCTCTAGGAAGCCTTTCTTGAGCCCCTCCTCCAAGGTTTCTCAATGGCACTACTGACACTTTGGACCAGATAGCTGATTCTTTGAGAGAGGTTGTCCTCTGCATTGCTCAACAACATGTTGAGCAATGTTCAACAACACCACTGACTCCAGATGCCAGTAGGACTCCTTGACAAACCACCCATGATAGCCCCAAAGTCTCTAGGCCAGGACAAACATTCCGGGAACACCCTCACCATCTCCCTCCCTGAGATCACCCCGTTGAGAACCACTGCTGTATGTAGACTTCCTGCTAAAGCCACACATCTCCCTGAATGAACTCCTGCCACAGCACTGAGTACAGCTGCAATTACGCAGTTTCCCGTGTAGTTAGTACTTAATGTTACCTTCCCTTCAAGACTCCAAGCTCCATGAGGCTGGAGAGAAACTAGATCTGTCTTCTTTCTGCAATATCCCCCAATCCTTGATACACAGTAGATATTCAACCCTTTTTTGAATAAATGGAAGAAACTTTGAGTACGGTTTTTCCTACTATTTTAATACCACTTTTAAATGGTTAACCTTTAGTAGTCCAAATCAGCACCTACACTGAATCGGGTTTCTTTGAGAGGGCTTAGTGAACAGAGCTTTGAAATAGGGTATTAAAGAAGCCTCTGGATCAATAATGGGTCTGATGAATCCCAACACTCACCATAACTTTTCCTTTCTATTGGGAGAGATGGAATTAACACTCCTGTATATTGTTCTTAAGCAAGAATCTGTGCAACACCAAAGATGGATCACACTTAATGCTACAAGGAGGCAAAACATGTAACATTTGCAAATTCCCCATAAGTAATCCCTTTGTGCCTAGATATTATGCTTGCTTTATATGTTTCTAATGAGAAATTATAAACTCAGCCCTTTGTGATCTGAATGAGGTCAATTATAGGGACTTACTCAAGTTGTAGGCCCACACATTTGCCAGAAAGGAAAATAACAAAAGGTCTCAACATCTCCTCCCCATTCCACCCCCATTTGAAAGAGGCTCTTTCCACCTCCCATCCCACTGCCCCCAGACCCTAGCCCAAAGAGCTTGAGTATTGGCTATAAGCAAACTCCCTTGGGTCAAATTCATGACCAAGGGGGCCATGCCAACCTGGGGGTCCTAGACTATCCGGACGACAACAAATCCATCCAGATTGTTAAACTCTGTGCCAGTAATGTCTGTGTATTCCCTTAGAAATAAAAGGTCTTAAAAATCAAAAATTTTAAAATGCAAAAAAACCCAGAGTCAGGTCTGACTCTTGGTGTTCTAAATGTCTGGCTCACTGCAGTAAAAAGAACCTGAGCAAGATCTGGCTCAGAATAAAAATTATCCTTAATTTTGGCAGGTACTAAGACATATAATCTTGACCCATACAGAGCAGAAACAGAGATAAGAAAGATAAAACTGAATATCTATTATTTTAACATTGTAACAATGTTAAAATTAATTGGTACACAGAAGGACCAATTAGGATTCATAGACAACCCAGACAATTGGTGCTTAAATAAGACAGAGGTTTATTTGTAATCTCAGGCAATACAAGTCTGGTAATAGGTGATACAGGGCTACTAGCATGGTGCTCCACATCCATCTGGCACCCAGGTGGTCGCTATCCTTTCTGCTCTACCATACTTACCACTGGCTTCCGTCAAAGTCACCTCATGGTCACAAGAAGGCCACCATAGCTCCAGCCATCAAATTCACATAATAGGAAATAGGAAGAAGAATGAAACAATGGCAAAAATGGCCTGCATCCAGCTGGGTCAGCCACCTTTAATAAGCTTTACCAAGACCCACCCCAAAATCTCTACAGAGAACTCTCTGGCTACCCATAT